CCATACCCACTTGGTTTTCGTCAACATCTTTCATCCCCAGCATGCTCCCATCGGATTGCTCGGTGGCAAAAAAAAACAGCAAGCGGTTGGGTGGAATGGAGTCATACATGTTCTTGCATGTTTCATCACCTAAACACACATTTACGCCAGACATGATCTGGCCCATGGGTTTCCTGGCACCATGCTGCATCCGGCCAAGGCCAAGGAACACAACTTGGTGACCAAGTTCAGGCAGGAATCCGGGCCTCAAGCAAGATGCCGTGATGGTGTCTTATACTGGCATGTAAATAAGTCCTAATCCATTGAAACTATATATATAATATAAATATATTTGTTCACTATTGTTTCTCCTAGATAACTATCTATTGTGTCTCATGTAATGAGGATGCCGCGATGGTGTCCTATCTAATGAAGATGCCGTGATGGTGTCTCATTTAATGAGGATGCCGTGATGGTGTCCTAGTTGCTGAGGACGCTGTGATGGCGTCCCATTTAATGATGCTGCGATGGTGTTTGTGAAAAATGCAAAAAATATGACATGGATTTCGGATGTCATCTTGGTGGATGGATGAATGGAGATGTGTGCACTGAAACACTCTTGTAAGCTGAATTGACCCCCCTGATAATACGGTATATTTGTTTACTTTAAGGTTCCAAAAAATCTGGAAATATATTGTCTTGATCTTTCCATCAAAAATTATATCAATACATGATCGTTTGTGGAAATGCCCTCATCCTGACATCATCCCTGCGATTGAGGCCCTGGCTATGGGCAACATTGAGCACCAGCACCTTCACTGACACCATCTCGGCATCAATTTTAGGCACCATCACGGCGCCTTCACTGATACCATCTATTATTAATGGGGGTTATAAACCTGGTTTCTTGTGGTGCCGTGATGGTGCCATGAAACTGAGAAGATGCCGTGATGGTGTCTTTTATTGGTGCCGTGATGGTGCCATGAAATTGATAAGATGCCGTGATGGTGTCTTTTACTGGCGCCGTGATGGTGCCATGAAATTGATAAGATGCCGTAATGGTGTCTTTTACTGGCGCCGCGATGGTGCCAAAAACAAAACGGTAAGATGCCATGGGGGTCTGTTTCATCCAGGGGCAAACATGTTTTGTGGGGTGTGGCACTTCACTGTCACTAACCAATCAGTATAGTATGGATAGTTTTAGATGGGGACCAAGACTATGAGACAAAATTATTCTTGAAGACTTTGGATGGTTCTTTCTGGTGTTTGTTACCTTTGAACCTTTCTGACTACTTTGAACCCAAAAGAACATGACCCAAAAACTAAACGATGCTGAGGTCCAGACTCTGGACTTGGTGGGTATCTTAATCTTCACTGTGGCATGACACTGTCACAGCATCATCATGACACCATCATGGCATCAATGTTGTGACACCATTAAGGCATCACTTTTTTGACACCATTAAGGCATCAATTTTGTGACACCATTAAGGCATCACTTCTTTGACGCCATTAAGGCATCAATGTTGTGACACCACTAGGGCATCACTTCTTTGACACCATAAAGGCATCATTGTGACACCATTGAGGCATCACTTTTTTGACACCAGTAAGGCATCATTATGACACCATTAAGGCATCACTTCTTTGACACCATAAAGGCATCATCATGACACCATTAAGGCATCATTTGACTGAGGCTGAGGCGTAGTGGTAGTCGTCGTCGTAGTCGTAGTCTCATGACACTGATAGGGCGCAATTTTTTGACACCAGCAATAAAATATTTTAAGCCGGTGTTTTTCTATTAAAACACATGGGTTGGGTGTAATTTGCCAGCCCTGACCATTTTACAACAACAAAGGCTTAAAAAGGTTTGGTAATATTAGGGTTATGTAAGGGGATATCCCTCCAAAATATGGCCTTATATGGTACAGTACATCCATTTTAGGATCCTGGAATTCCCATTGAAGAAATATCGTTGCTTTTTGGGAACGCCCTGCCCCCCCCTCTCTCAGAAGATAAATGCATTTCAAGTCTAGCAAAAAAAATGCCAGCAAGTTCTTCACTGAATATGATGCCTATCAGTGTACGTTTATGTAAAAAAAAAACGCATGACACGTTCTCCACAATTTCTATGTCAACTTTGTTTTCAAAACATGTTAGAAACACACAAGCGTTGCGTAACATTTTTTTTGAGTTGCATTTTTTGTTGAAAACCTTTTCTGTCACAGAACAGGCTCAAACCGTTTGAAAGTTTTTGGGCCAAAATACATCATGAATTCTGATCAATGTTGAAACATTTGAAGCAAACAGATACCCGCCACCGCTGGGTACCGTCCGGCACTCCCAAAAATGACCAGGTCCCAGGAGCTCCAAAAGCTGTTAATTAAGGAAACCCTCGTTGTTTAAGGAAACCTCGCTTAAAAACCTTTTCTTGAGGACATGTTGTTTCCCTAATTAAGGGAAAACATTGCCATTGCTTCATTACAGAAAAACTTAATTAAACGTTTTTCCTTAAATAAGGAAGGTTGTGTTATTTAAGGAACCTTTTTGTAAGGAAACATTCCTTAATTAGTTAAACAGAAACCTTTCTTTATCTTAATCCGTCACTTTTGGAAGTGCTGGGAATTTGTTTTTTTGTCTAACTTCTTAACTCTAACTTCCGACTTTCTGAAGTCTAACTTCCGACTTATGAAGAGGCTGTAGTGAGGGAGTAGAAGCATTAGATGTGTGGGTGATCAAAATAATCAAAAAAAAATAGCAGGCACAAAAGCACAAAGCTAACCACCAGCAAGATGAATGGCCGATGGCAAACTAGTTGTCATGCAAAACCAGGTAAACGCCCAGCAGTCAGTAGATTGTTCAGAGTCCAGTCCAGATGGATCGCACCCGCAAAATTGTTTGCTTGTACTTGGGTAAATTTCCAACCATCTGCCCAAAAGAAAAATTGCAAATGGCCATACCAAAGTTAAAATTGAAAAAGGGCATACCCGAGACATCCCCTGTGAAATACTGTATGCCCGAAAAATCAATGCTCCGCAAAACACTGTAACCAAACTGTGAAGATGCTTCCAGAAAAAATGGAAAATAGTAATCCACAGGTTCGCAGTGCTGAATGATCTACCAAAATTCGTCATCACTGCTTGCATGTCCAGTTGCAGGAGACATTGCGTCATAGCCATAAGTAAATCTGATCTTCTCGATGAGGTTGTCCAGATGAAACTGAGTAGTGCATCGTACTCGAAGCGCCTTGTTGTGGCGAATACGGTGCAACACTTGTTGATCAATTCTCTGAAAAGCTTCCTGTTCAATCTGATGGGCAATGGCACTAGGTGACATGCCAACCCATCGTGGCCTCCAGAATTCAAGGTCTGGCCACTCAAGGCTTTCAGAGGAATCACCATCGGAACCGTGGTTCCAAGGTACATCCGGATCAACTTCCTGGTCAGAATCAACCATGGCGACGCCGTCGTGCTGAAGGCGTGGCCACTCGAACCTGGTACACCAATTGTACCAGAGCCCAGTGACCAAACCAAGAGCACTGAAAAAATTGCCCTTATTTTAAAGGGACTCCCGCCCTCCCACCACTTGATTGGGAAAAGTCACAGCATTACAAATGATGATGTGACGTGTGAAGGATGTCGTGTTTCCAATGGAATTATTGAATACCACATCGAATATTCAGAAAATAGAAATGGGAGATTGAACGCCAAACTGTTTGCTTTCCAGATTAGGTTGAGTGTTTCAACGCTTAGCAAACGTTTGTTTACCACCAACCAGAGAAGATTCCTGTTGATCCTTATTTGTGAGGGTTCACAAATTTTTGTTTGGAGAAATAATGCTTTCATCTTTTTTCAAAAGAGTGACATCATACTTGGCTTTTAAACACTTGTCGGGCCCTGGATAGGCATGTGGTTCTATCAGGTATAGCTGAGGGGCGCATTGTCCAGCTGTTCCCGTAGGAGGTGAAGAGATTGGCCAGACCGTTGACAAAAATCACCTGCGTGGGGATCAACACACAGATATTGACTTGGACATGAAAATAATTTGAAACAACGGTTGTTGAAGGAACATTTTTTGACAAGTCCACTGCGATGCTGCCATGCACCTTATGTGCTAGAATCATCAACCCTACGCAGGTATCCCAGGAAGTTGTTTGTGCAAGATTTCTTGCAGGAGTGCCACCAGGCCAACACCTAGATGAACAAAGACCAGTCCAAATTGGTTCATTTCAATTTTGTTTGGAGGAAACTATGAATGTCTACTAAGAATTTTGTCCAATGGCTGACAGCCTCTATGTAGCACCCTGCCCAAGTAACATGACCCAGCTTCATGAGTCATCCCATGCCAAAAACACCAACTTCCGCTGAAGAATTGATCAGCCACATTCAGGCCGAACTCATGATGCCTCTTCCTTCTTCAGTTCCATTGCCACGGCCTTGGCCTGGGCACGGATCAGCCTCGCGTTTCTCACCTGGGCCGGGGACGAGGAGACCAATACAGAGCAGGGACTTTTTGATCCGTTTTGGGGCCCCCTTTTGATAACCAAATATTAATATGTGATGAAAACAAACCGCATAATTGTCAATTATAGGCCATATAGCCACACCGAATCCCATAGAATTTTAACTTGAAGGTGGAAGGAGCACAAATCAAAAGTAATATGTTTTGTTTCTGTGACTAGGTGCGACATCCGTACATGTCGATGCAAAGTCCTCCAGATCATCCTCTGGAATATCCTTCACCCTTAGCCAGACAGCTGGCATTTCCAGCATGCACATGGGTTGACAACAGAATCATTTGGGGGCAAAAAAGAAAACTTTGGCACACCATCGTTTTTTAAATTTCACCGGAGAACTCTCCAAGCTTCTCCTCAAGGGTGTTCTTCTGTTCGAGCAGCGGAGCGCGCAAACTATTGCTTTGGGGCAAGTCGGCAATCACAGAAACACACTGGGACAACTCCTTCTTGAGCTGTGCTACTTGGTTTAACAGGATAAGACTTATGCTTTTGTAGACATTTGTCAAAGGTATTCCAGAATATATGGTTTTATCTTGGAACCAAGGTATGAAAAACAGGGAAAGCTGAGTATGGAAAATAAGTCCAGGTTTCCAAGTGCTTTGCGGTGTTCAGCTGGGGTCTTGGGGGTCTGCTGCGCAATCGCCTTTGCCTTTGCCTTGGCTTTGGACTTTGCTTTGCATGCTGGGGTCGGGTCTGCTGTGTTGGCCACATCCACCAGTGCCTTAAGCGTTGGTCCGTTCCCAACCTTGGTCCCATCCTCTCCCGACTCCAAATCGACAGCCCCAACCATAGCTGCCAACCCTTCACAATTGCTCTGGATCTTTGCTGCTGCTGCTGCGCTGATGGTGCTGCGCTCCTTCTGCGACAAAGAGCCACCACACGTGGCCCAAAAGCGAACGCTCTCGGGGTCTTCTGGTGCATCTGGATCTGGATGCGGTGTCTGCTTCGAAATGATCGAGTCGATCTTGGTCCTTAGATTGAATGAATAGCATCATCAAAAGAACAGCGCGTTCTAAGTGTTTGAGATGTTTTGAACACTTGTAAATATGCACATATACATAATCATGTGCATGTAAAAAAGAAATGCATAGATAAAATAGTCAATCAGTACCTATGTGGCCATGTCTGTTTGTATGTCTGTTTGTATGTAAGTATGTATGTAAGTATGTATGTAAGTATGTATGTAAGTATGTATGTGTATATGTGTATGTATGTGTATGTATGTGTATGTGTGTGTATGAATGTGTACGTGTATGTATGTGTATGTATGTGTATGTATGTATATGTATGTGTATGTATGTGTATGTATGTGTATGTATGTGTATGTATGTGTATGTATGTGTATGTATGTGTATGTATGCATGCATGCATGCATGCATGCATGTATGTATGTGTGTGTGTCCGTGTGTGTATGTGTAGCTCTGCTAATTCTTCCCCCGTCTCAGTTTGTTATGGTGGGATGGATGAGATGGATGGAACGGATGGGATAGGTTGATGGAAAACGTGCAAGGCCAAATAAGTTACAACCACTAGACACACACACACATGCACGCACACGTACAAGAGAAAGAAAAAACGTAGTTTCTTTCTAAATCTCGTGGCTGGCTGAATCCGCGGGCCCGCATTTGCGGGATTGTGAGCAGCTCCTTGGTCTGGGTCATCTCCCCACTTTGTTCCCGGGTTATGTGCAAAGTAGTCTCCATCCGCTTGAGGTTCTCGCCGTTGGCAACAAATTGCTTCAGAAGTTCTTGTTTCTCCTGAGCACGCTACAGGTTCCATGCTTGGAAAAACTCTATAGTTTCCGGCATAGGTGCAACAAAAACCATAAAGGGAAATGGAAAATATAAACATCAGCTTTAGTTCTTGTAACCCCAGATTCTTTGCGTCCACCCGACCACAATTTTGCTACATTCGGGAACTGGGCTGGGTCAAGTTTTTCCATGCGTCGTGCCAAACGCGCGTGTGCTGCGCGGTGTGTACTGCTGTTCACTTCAGCATCCACCGGCGGGGTATCTTGGCGTGGGGCGGGCGGAGCATCAGGTTCAGCTTTGATGGCAGGGGTGGATGCAGCAGCAGGTGGAGGTCCAGTCTTGGTCAACTTGGCGGGTGGGGCAGGGGCAGCCTCAGAGCTCCTTCGAATGACAGGGCCACCCTTAGGAACAGGGCACCCCAGGGATGCAATGACTTGCCCAGCTCTGGACGAAGAAGGCAGTCCTTGCTTCGCCTTTGCAAGATCATCATCTGGTTCTTTCAAGTTCCCAGGTGCTTTCGGGTTCCCAGGTTCCGGAAGCAACTGCAAGAGGTGAGGGGCAAGAGCACCGACAACACTACGCATTGAGGGGTCTGCAAGAACATGCTGGACATGAGAAAGTGACTTCACAAACTCCTCCAACTGCTCTGCATTGTGCGCATGAGCTTCTGATGCCGATGGCCCCAACCTCAAATATAGGGGCAAGGTGCATACATAGAATCATACATAGACATGTACATATACACATATACATACACATATACAGCTAGACAGACAGACAGACAGGCAGATAGATAGACACATGAAAACACGAAAAACGTATCCAGAACATTTTTTTTGCTTACAATACCACGACTTCAAGCAGGGAAACAGGGTTGCGAGGTGGATGCATGCCCCAAAATAAAGATTGAAATCAAATCACAGCCAGAAGGGTAAACCCTCCATGGCATCAGCGGAATTTCCGAAATAATTGATGGCAATGTTGTATAGCCATCAGGAACCCCAAATTGTATAGACACGAACTAACTGCCCATAGGCCGCAGCTTGAGCTCATGTAGCACTTCATCCTTGGGGGCTATCAGGGCGCAGAAGACTGAATCAAAAATTGGTGAACAGGCAAACTATTGGTTGTGGTTGGCATTTTCGAAGAAGAACACATATAAAAGCCCGCAAGAATCAGACATCATCACCATGAAAGCTGCCAAGGTTCCCAACCATGGGGAATGTTGATGTGCTTCGCACGCGCAAAGTACTCCACCACTGCCCATATGTGAGCCTTGTGCACTGGTGTGGTCTATATAGAGAAAGGATTTGGGGAATAAGTAAATATTTGATATATCCAAACTCTTCCAGAGTCATCTTCACATATGTTCGGACCTGATGGCAGAGATGCCAATTTTAACATAGATATATTTTGGTTACACATGTAATCACTGGAGTGTGCAAAAAATGTTCCAATGTTCCACAAGTTAAACAACTAAGTTGTAAATACAAAACATAGATAGATAGTACAAGTGGCCATTTCATGCCATTTCCATTTTCATGTGTTCAATTAGTAACTATTCTATATATAACTACCTGGCAACTTATTTACCAACCAACCTACCTGCCTATTTGTCTACCCTCCTATCATCTACCCATATATATCTCTCTCTCTCTCTTTCTATCTTTCTATCTATCCACCTATCTTTCACCAAAGCTATCTAATCTAATCTAATCTAATCTACTGTAATCTAATCTAATCTAAAGCAGATCTTGCTGCATCGTTGTCCAAATAGTGGACCACAAGCTTGCCCACTATATTCGTCGACCATATCTTGACAGCAACCAGCAAAGGAAGGACCTCCAGTTCATATATTGGATGTTTCGATTTCGACAGAAATTCTTCAAGGAGAGGCTGCGGGAGGTATGCACCGAAGAACGAAACGACTTGCCCACTTGGGTTCACTAGGACTCCACCTATTGAAGCGGGTTGTGCATTGGTGGGTTCAAAGGCGCCGTCCGTAAAAATTATCCACATCTCATTGATATCGCGATTTATAGAAACATGTCTGCTCGACACCAGGTGATTCCTCAGGGTTCCCAATGCCGATCTCAACCGATCGTCAACGCGGATCGACGGACCTGTCCTCCTCGAGTGCCATGACAGAATCCTGGTGGCAGCGTTCAGTCTTCTCCCAAAAACAAAGGTGCGAAACCAAACTATGCAACCTTTCAAGGGTCTTGGTTCCCACGGAGTGGTGGTGCAGGATTTCGTCAATGCATTCGAGAAGTTCCTTGGACCTCTCTTCCGTGTGTCCAACTTTGACCTCTCGATTCCCCACGTTCTCTGTGTTGACCACTAGTCCCAAAGTCTTGAAGCAGTCTGAGAATGGGGGTGCTTTCGATCCTTCCGAGGCAAAATTTATGCCCAGTAGCTTGAACAAAGCTTCTGCGTAAAATGTGGTGTCAAGCTCAAGGCCTGACGGCGAGAGGGCAGTGTAGTCGTCAAAAAATACTGACCATGGAATGCATAGACCCTTCGAGCCTACGAACGCAATTGCAGACGAAATTCTGAGAAAAGCTGAAACACTGCCCGTGGCTCCGAAGGGTAACGCCAAAACTTTGAAAAATGCTACTCCTCCACCAGGTTTCTTCACAGCGATTCTGAGCTTCTCTGAATGCGGCACATCTACCCCAAATTGTTTGTATGCCGATTTCAGATCAAATGTCCTTCCCAAAAGTCCTTTGCCTTTGTTCACGAAACTTTGGGAGTCGAGTAGAACGGAGATGCCTGCCAGTATTTCGTCTATGGCATCGATCAACCCTCAGCTTCTCCGACATACCAAAGGCAGAGTTTACCCCGCAGATCAGCCAACCATCCATTTGCCACCTCTTGCATTGTCTCATCCCACGCGACTTGGTCCACTGGCATCCATTCCGATGATTCAAGGGAGGCCACAACTGCCATGTTGAGCCCCTTCGCCATTCCCTCAAGTTGCTCCAAGGAAGAATCTGGTGGCTTCACCCTAGTCTGGAAAACGCCTGAAGACTGGGCCCACCCCGTCAAGGGGAAACCCTGACACACTTCATCCACGATCTGCGCGTCGGGGTACTGAAGGTCCAGCAGAATCTCTTTCCACAACAGCAGCTTTTTGTCTTTGAGCAAGGGTCGAAGGTGTGGAGGGAGACCGGCGTGGAGTTGCTGCTCTTCTGCTCTGAGTTGGACAGCTCTTTTCATCCATTTTTTCAAGAAGCTGGCACGCTTGGACTTGATCTCAAAGGGGTCACCAAGGAAGACTTCCTCAAGGGATTCCCTCATCAATGGAGGAACTCGAGCGAAGGCCCTCCTTGGATGCCCAATTTCATGAGCATCTTTGATGAAGTCCGCTGGGTCCCTTGGGATCCCAAGAGTGAGAACCTCAAAATGTGCCCCTTCTTCGATAGGGGAAACAAAGGTGCTTGACTTCCTCCTCCATTCGTCCCGTGTAAACCCCCAATGCAATTGACGATGGATAACGTTGGTGCCTTTTGGGAATTCGTGCAACAACTTGTCAGTGTGCTGATAGCCAACTGGAATAGCGGCGGTTGCTTCCCGTCCATATTCGGCCAAAATTTGCTTCAGCTTGTTGCCTCTGCTCTGTGCTGCAAACAAATTCCTCTTTCCAACGCTTGGATCCACCATAAGTTGCTGTTGCAAGCTTTGGCAAGGGCTGAGGCCACGGCACTTGGCTTCGTTGACACAAATAGAAGCAAATCGCTGGCACAAAATTGTAGGGTAAGCGGCTTCTTCGGCCGTCGGAAAAAATAGTTTGCCGTCCACCCAACGCGGTTTCCAAGAATCATGTTGATGCTGTCCATCGCAAAGAATGCCCAGGCTTTCCAGAATATTTGTGTCTGGCTTCCTCGGGTTATACGACCAAAATTTTGACTTCTTGTCCCTGGTCCCTCCATGCATGCAATGCTGTAAAACTGTAAAATGGCCAGGGTACTTGTCAAACAATTTCAACATGAAACTCGTAAGCCAAAAAAGGCTGTTGAGGGGGTTTTCAACTGTCACCGCAACGCCTAACCCAATGAGAAACAGGATGAGGTCAACCATTGCTGAGTAGGATGCATTTGCCTCCAGAACCCTTTGGTGTTCTTGCTCGGTCAAGCCTGCCAGCCCGTCTGGGTAGGACTCACTACTTGGAGGTGCGGCCCTTCTTATAACTAGTTGCAACGGTTGTTTGAGTTATAAGTCATGCAGTAAGCCTGACAAGTCATGCAATAAGTCTAGCAAGTCAGCCAATAAGTCCAACAACTAAGACTAAGTAGGAAACCGACTTGTTAAGTAAGTATACTTACTTAGTAAGTGAGACACCTACTTAGTCGACATGGTCGAGGAGAAACTGGAGGAGGAGGCGGAGGAGGAGGAGGAGGAGGCAGAGGACAACAGCTCTGATAAAATCTAACAACCCTCACCTGGCAGGTGGGGAATAAACAGACTACTCTTGGAACACTACAGACCTATTTCAAATGTGGAGAGTTGAATGAATGAACAAAAGTATATGCATATGTGTGGGCAACGATGGTGCACATCTTATTCTCATGTGAGTTCTTACAAGGGGTTCGTCATGAGTCATGAGCGCAAATGCAAACTTGTTTCACGTGAGGAAATCGAGCCGAAGATGCAGCGCTCACTGCTGCATAGAATCCCCGCAGACTGCCACCTTTTTAACAACATTTTAGACGTTTTTGGAGATGGAAATGCTGCGTACCAAAGACTCACTAGTCTCAAGGTTTTTGACGCCAAACTGCAGTGGGCACAGCACGCATCATCCACAACATACGCTTGGTGTGTTCAGCACGAAAAGTTTTGCAATATCGTGACATCAGCCACTTGTCGGGCAGGAGGGTTTCCATGCCAAGACTACTCAACAGCTGGCAAAAAGGAAATGGAAGAGGGTTCACACTCCCCTCCACACCTTGTTGGATTTGGGAAGAAAGCAATCATTACGCAAAACCCAGTCTTGGTGGTTGAAAATGTTGATGCTTGTCCACCTGATATTGTTCGCAAGACTTTCGGGCCTTCTTTTGATTGGCACGCCGAAGTTGTGCTCTCGCCAGAAGATGTTGGGTTTGAATGCATTCGCCGATCGAGGCCTCGATTCGGGACGGGTCGCTGCACTTTCAAAGGGTTTGTCTTGAAATCCTTCAAATCATCCACACCATGTAAGCCATGAAAATACATCTAGGATCATCTAGGTGCAAAAGAAACTATTCATAGGCAAGCAGATATTGTGACTTTGTTTCTGGTGAAGATGTAACTGCAAAAAAGTCTGTATTGTTTAATCTGTTTGCACATGACCTGTTTCTATATACACCCAGCTCTTTCTACTGTGCGTGAAAACCCTTGAGGCTCTACATGGGTGCAACAAATGCAGAAGCTGCTGTTAGTGTCTTTGACCCTGCAATGTTACTACGACATTTCACCCACTGCATTCGGCGAGACCCACCGCGTTTGAGGTAGGGAACCTAGCATGTTCCGGAACTGGCAAGTAAACAGATATTTATACTGATCAATGATGATGTTTGCATTTTTACATTGCAGTCGGCAAATATACAATACCAAGACGTTGCTAACCAGAAACTTCGAAACCTAGGCCAAGAGATCTTATGGTTGCAACAGCGTCCGATCTCAGAGAAGACATTTGTCATCTATCAGCAACTGGTCGAAGGGGTAGCCCATGGTCACATGGTGTTTTCAGCTTAGTCAACCAAAGTGAGTGGCAACGTTTGCTGGCATATACCGCCCAATATGCCCAGCTCACTGGCCCGAAGTGCGAGCCAGAGGACCTTGTCTGTCACGTCGGCGATTCACCATCCAGCGGGTGGACAACTTGGAGTGCAAGAAGCGCTGCCCTGCCGACGATTCGACGTTGTGGCAGTTTGTATGTGAACCCTTTTTTCGGTCGACATTTGCTGTTGAAAGAGCTCTTCCTATCCATGGGCTATCCAACTTTCAGTCTTGCTCATCAAGTCTCAAACCTTCCCCAACAATTTGCTTATCAGGTGTTTGTGCCCACTTTGACATGGTGGGACATGAGACGCGCCCTTGGAAACTCAATGCACGTGGCTCAGGTTGGCACATTTGTTGGAGCTCTTCTTCTCACCAGTAGATTAAAAAAACATGATTTCAGCCTAGCTGAAATTATGGCAATCATCGACTCAACGACTTAGAGAAAAAGTTCATGAACAGTTTTTCGCATTGAAGCCTTGCAGCACATTTGGAGAAACATTCCAAAATTCTTTTTGTACAAGCTGTCATGAGTCTGCAAGGGAATAGGTGCCTGGTACGGTGAGAAACTTATGTTGCTCGGATTGTGGTTTGTCCTTGTTGTTGCATTGCTGCAGCTAGTGTGCGATCATTTGACCTCCCCTGTGTGTGCCTGTTTTCTCACCGGCTTAGCCATGTCCTACGGTGGTAATCCTCCGGGCAAAGGGTCTGGGAAGAGCGCTGAAGGTCTCCCACCTCCCCTTCCTGCTCCTGCAGGACCCCCCCCAGGAAAGGGTGGGGCAGCAGGGAAGGGCGCCGCCTCTGCAAGCTCCAAGGGTGGCCCACCGTCCATGAAGGGTGCCCCTCCCCCTCCACAAAAGGGCAAGGGGGTCATGAAGGGCAAGACTTTTACTAAAGCAAAGCCTGCAGGCAGGCACACGAAGAAATCATATTATGTGTTTAAATCCTATTCTTCAAATTCATAACTGTTAAGGTGGGTATTTGAACATGACTCCAAATTTCCTTCCCTGCAGGGGCCGCGCCTTCGCAAGCCTCGAAAGCGAAGGCTGCACCTCCTGCCGCCCGTTCAGCCAGGCTGACAACAGGGCAGCGCATTGAAGCCAAGGACTTGTATGGGGTGGCACTTTACGAGAAGCAGGACCTCTTGTACAATTTGGACAGGAGGCAATTCAACAATACGGTCCTTCAGTCGATGTCCAATGAAGACTTGAGCGACCCCCGCCAAATTTAAGCATGACATAACTTAAATGAAATCATCCTAAACGCATTCTCTCACACGGCAAGTAGGTGCATGCAAGTGCTCCCCACTTAGGAGATCATTGCTTACCTTGCTGGTGTTGACCCCACTGCAAAGCCGGCGGCATCTGATCCGAATGACCCCCGCCTTTTCCTTAGCTTAGGGATGGGGTTGCCTGACAAGCCTTCCTGACCTTCTGATTCCTTTGGACAAGTTTTAGTTCAAGACTAGTTAGCTGTCCTAAAATCTTTCCTTTGAACTTTAACGATTTAGACATGTAGCATGATTGCAGGGAATGGGTTCTGAGGTGGAAAGTACATGTCTGGCCTGCTGGACAACATTTGGCTTCGAGTGGATGCCGGTGATATCAGATCGAGAATCTTGGCTGCACCTAATGACATATATCTTAGCTCACCTGACTGTCAAATAGTTTTAATTCTGAATTTCAAGCTTGGCTTACAAACCAACAGTGCTCAGGGGGGTTCTTGCTTCTGAAATCAGATCTAGGCTTTTGTTCCAAGTTGTTGCTCGCACGTGTGCGCCACGACCGAGCTCAGCGAGCCAGCATCATGGAGAAAATCAGTGTTTACTGGCATGGCGAGCATCAGTGCATTTCCAATGGGACTGACACTGCATGGCTTCCACAAGGGTGGAACTATTTTGAGGAGGAGGTTTTCTGGTATTTCCCGCATCTAATCTGCAGGTGGCATGAATTTCAAATGTAAAGTTGAGTTAGGTTTGTATCAAGAATCTTGGGGGCTCTATGCAAGGTTACCGAAACAACATGATATTTTATATGAAGACAATGAGTAACACGTGTTTCAAAGATGCTGGTACCCTCAGGGAGTGCAAACCCTACGTGACTGACGGGGTCATGACTGTCTACGTGCATGACCTCATTCCCATTCCGGAGTATGAAGACTTTGTGGAGCCTACCATCCCGGCTCCCGCTTCTCCTACTGGTAGCGTACGTAGCGCTGCAAGCATGATTCCTGAGCATATCATTGCATATGACCCCATCAGTGACCGACCACTTTTGATCAAAGTGGCTTCCCCTGAACAGCTGGTTGAACTCCCGTCATGCCCTGACAAAGATTATTTCATCCAGCGCCATGCAGTGAACCAGAAGGAGTTTGTCACGTCCGCATCACTGGGTGTGATGCGCTATGTAGCTAGGCTGCAACACACCCAAAAGCTTTTGAACTTCAGAAGTGAGCAAAGTAGAAGAAAAGACAAATTCTTTTGAAACCGAGTGCTATGTTACATGAATACCAAATTCTTGCCTGTGGCTCCCGACACCACTTCAGGTTGAGAATATCTTCGAGGAGCCGGAGACAGTCGAAACACCTGGAGAGTCACAGGCAGGAACGTGCCTTGATATCAGGATGCCATGTAGCTACCAACTAGGACTTCAAGTCAAAGAGTCAAAGGTTACCAAATCACCAAATCTTCTATCTTTCCCAGTTGGTGGCAGGAGTGGTCTACTCAAGCCATGCCGACCCAGACCTTGCCTGAGGAGACATTGGGTGTTCTTCTTTGGGCTTTGGCTGGGTGAATCTCATGATTGTTCTTTTCATTTTGTTGACTCCCCAAAGTGTAACAAACCCATGCCCATGTCAGTTGCATCCCTTGCCATCATGTATTCATCGTTGCATCCCTTTTCCCATGACAGGAGCCCGAGACTGAAGCGGCGGGTGGAGGAGGCTTGGCAAAGGCCACTGCTCCAGCTCCGATCCCTGCGGCTCCCGCTGCGCCTGCTGAGACACCCGCTGCAATTAGTGAGGTGGAATGGGTGTATTACAACAATCCCCAGCAGAATAAGGGATTTCTAGGGTGTATTCTGGAACCCCCAAAAACCTCCAAAATAGCAAAAACTATTCCATATCAAGGCCCCCCAAATGGGATTGACTGGCAATTTTCAAGGGCTTCCCACACAAGCTGTTTCGACTCCAGCTGATATGAAAGCAAGATGTCCATTTCAAACTTGAATTGGGCCACCGCAGTAGCCTTCGAGGGCGTTGGGAATCTGATGGTCATTCTCACATCTGCCAAAATTGGATCCAAAATTGTGATTCCAGGGTTTTGCAAGCATGTTGTTTCTGCGCAGCTTGTCCTTGAAGATCGCAGCACCCAGCCAGACATGGCCCACTGACATGTCAGCAGCTGACGCGGTGTTGTTTTCACTTAATTTATGACACTTCCGGTTACATGATGGTATGACCCGTTTGTTTGCACACCTTATTTGGTTGATTAGCCATGGCCTGCCAAAATTCTTACTTGATGTGGCTGCGGCAGTGTGAGAATGAGGTACAGCACACAGCGCTGGGTACCTTGAGTGTACCGTCACCCGTTTTGACCGTCTTTGCCTAAGCAGCGCAGGGGCCAAGAAAAAGTTAAACCATGCACTATAACGATAACATCTTTGATGGGTTATTCCTGCTGAATACCAAGCACTGTGTCAGGCTGTTTTGATATGGTCCATGCGCTAGCTGTTTTGAAGACAGGGCCCATGCTGTCAGACGCAGCTTCTTTCTGACAGCCATAGTGGCCAGCCAACCTACAGTATCCAAAGATCTGCAAAACAATAGACTATACCGGTTTGCCTCCTTAGTGCTAATGCTGCTGTTGTTGTGGGTGCAGGTAAAGCGAGCAAACCCACTACTTATCTTGTTTACTTGATTGGGTATTTCAATTGTTGGTTCCTTGGTCGTCAAACAGAAAGTTTGTGGGGACATGCTGCATGTTAATCTTAGGTTCCTCAGCATACTGATGAGGTAGTGAAACCTGGACTACTCGACCTTGCCAAGGGCTTTGACGACTCGTCGGATGAAGCGAAGCAAATGCAACAAATGGCGGACAGTGTTTTCAAACACATGGGATTTCCTAGTCATGAACAAGAAAGAATACAGCAAACATACTAAATCACAATCTTCTGTCAGACTTTGGAATTGCTTTGGGGCATCTCACCATCGCACAGGTCTTGTTTTGTCAAAACGTTACGCAATTTGCGTTGCCTCTCTCTTAATTACAAGATCGTTAAGCTTTGGGACACCCACTGGGGAACTGACTGCTCCCAATTCAGGAGTTGGAGCAGAAGCAAATCATTCCTACAGGAGCTTTGGATGCCTACAAGAAACAGAGCCGCAGCATTCACAGGGAACCCCTCAAGCTGCTGCATCAATTGCACCATGCACTCAGTGTTGGCATGGGCGTGGATTTGGATGTTTACATGTCAAAGCCTCTGCCTCCCCAATCTGCTAGAGACGAGCTGCAGAAAAGACCAGTCTTGATACTGACATCGGACGAAGAACCCAAGGAGTAACTAGACAGCTTGCTTGTCAAGATTTTGTGTTTTCAGATCATGAATTTCCAACGTGACCCAACGTGACTGGATACCTTGCTGGGTAACCGACTTGAAGATATCGTACATTGCACTGGTCACTGGGTGATGACCAACACCAAGGATCAAAGCCAACGTGACTGGATACCTTGCTGGGTAACCGACTTGAAGATATCGTACATTGCACTGGTCACTGGGTGATGACCAACACCAAGGATCAAAGCCATGAACATGCTGGTTTACAACCTTCGGATGAGAATCATGCGCAAGCGTGAAGAACACCACAGGGTGTCCAATGATGCTGATGACGCACCGAAACACGAACGTCTATGGGGACCGCTGCGCCAAATTTGTATTCAAACATACAGAGTTCACTCCCTCTTTCTCTTTCTCTCTCTCTCTCTCTATCTGTTGACCTTGTTTCAGTTTGAGATGGCCTCCTTTGAAAGTATAGTTGGCACTCTGTGTGAAGACCATCAAACGGAATTCAGTTTGGCAAACTGTTCAAACAACAGTCACAAACCCTACTCATCCAAAAGCCTTCAGATTTCAGAGTCTTAATTCACAGAATCTCTTGTACAAAGTTGGTACATCATGTTAAGTCCACGACATGTGAATCTTTTCAATCCCCATAATGACCATACCCACCAACTGATTTGATCGAAAGCATTCATCCATCTCCAAAAAGCGTCGAAATTTTGGGAAGCGCTCTAAAAGAGAACACTGCGTTGGGTTGCAGGAACTGTGGCGTGCACAAGGCAAGTCATGTCAACGAACAGGAAGCCTTATTTGAGCTATGCGTTTTCCCAAGAGATGGCTGACCTTGCAAGTGCCTATTTGGACCAATATCCAGCTTCTTCTTCAGAGCGCTTATGCTTAATCAGTGGTCAGGGTTTAGGGGTTTGGGGTGGTGTTTTCCCCAGTTCAAACATTTGTTTTTAAAGTTGTGGGACTTGCCTGCTCCCAGGTTTCAAACCGAAATCCAATCGATGAAGAGAGATTGAGGCCTCAGCCCTATCACGCCTGCCCAAGAAGTTCATGATAGGTGCCGAGCAGGAATACCAGTATGGACCACCACTGACGCTTCTAGACTCACACTCATTGAGGCTGCCAGCAGCATGTACTACTATTGCGCGCATTTTTTTTTGTAGGGAAGATCATCAGAATTCTTGCCTTGCTCTATCTTGTTTTTCATCAAGCTGCAAGGTTCTTCTGAGTCGATGGTTTGCTTGGGATGCTGGGTGGCAGAGTTTCTCACCGTACTGGACCTTCGTCAAGAAGGTTCATGCATACCGGCAGCGGCTGCAGGGGACTTTAGCGGTGTTTTGACTGCAGTCTCTGCAAACATTTTTTGTTAAAGGACCATTACTAGATGAGATGTTGATTTGCAATTGCTTGCCCTATCCACAGAATATTGTTTCTCTCCCAGTGAATCTGGAAACCTTAGGATGAATCTGGCAGCGTACAGAACCAATCGATTCAAGAGTCTGCCCAAGAAGCTAGAGTGGATGCATCTGGCGGGATTGCGAATGTTGTCAAAGAGCTTCTGGCTGTTAAGAGCAGCATGGACGTAGCCTATGATGTGTTGAAGGATAGCAGCATTTGCAACTACGCACATATGTCCTTCGGTTGCAATCTTTTCTGGCGAGCCGAAGTAATCGAATCCTTGAAAAGTAACAATAATAAAGAACAATCAAAAACAATCAATATATTTACCTAGCTCTACAGAAGTTACCAGTTGTGTTTTTTGTGGCAACTTGCAGTTAGCTCACTGATTTCAGTTGTCAAGACCTATTTCTGCCGCCGACCGTTCTACCATGACCACCTTCGCATCATGGAAGCAACGAAAGACAGGACAGAGAACCTCCAACTGCAAGCTGGTTGGGCCTGCCGTGAATGGGTGGAATGTGTAGCTGAAATTCTGGGTTTACTTGATCAGGTTCCGATTCTCGAAAAGATGGGTCTAGATTCAAGGAAGGAAACAACGAAGGAGTCAACAGAGCTAGCTGAGTTGTTTTTCCGGCTGGTAGTTCGGGCTGCTTCCAAACGTTCATGGTCAATGGCCATCTACGATGTCCCACCCAGAAGTTTTGCAGCATTGCTTCACCGAAACCGTGACAAAGTCCTCAAGTTTGGCACCCAGCAGATCAAAAAGGATTTTGACATTGTCCAGAAAGCTATGCAAAGTTCAGCCCGTGGTGGGCATCCTGAATCACAGGCACCATGGGCGCAGTTCATGCTATCAGTTTGGAATTCCTGTGAATTTAGGGATATTCCTCCTTGTGGTAGTGACATGGGGAGCAGTTCCCTGGTGGGAGCCCTTTTCTCCATCTTTCAAGCCAGTTGTAAAAGACATTTTTTTCGTAAGCAGATGTATTAAAATGAAAGTCGCCTGTCGCATCAATGACCTGCCGCAGGGGCTCAAAGACACTTTGTCTACGCTGTGGCTCCACAAAGAGGTGGTTGTTCAGGACTCTGGTGGCTGTCTTTGCTGATGCTCCTGTTTGAAGTACACTCATAGTGATTACACCGCTCCGTTAAGGGAGTCTTACTTCCCGAGTTGTAGTTAGCAGTCTTTTTGGGCACTTTGGTCAAGCTTGCCTTGAAGGAGTTCTGGGAGCACAGCAACAAGCATGGTTGGGATTTTGACATGATGTACCAACATTGCTGGCGATTGTTCAACACAACAGTCTCAACGAAGGAGGCACTTGAGGACATGTTCGGACATGTCAGCCGTCGCAACCGGGCAGACATGCAGAATGCGACGCAGATGTCTGTGGAACGTTGCTTCTTCCATGCCTCTGTGAACCCACGATTCATGAGCGAGGCTTGGCCAATGCTCCGTCTACAGCCTGGAGACTTATTGTCATCAGAGGCAACCAGCTACAAGACCGGTGGTGGAGCTTATCTTCCATGTGTGAACACGAAAACCTGTGAGTCCCACAAACGGTTGAAAGAGCTGATTGATGCAGGACATGACTTTGAAAGAGTTGAAACCAAAAAGAACCCAAACAAAATTACTTTACTTCGTGTGATCCCCACCATGACATTTATCCATTTTGTTACTGGCAAATCTTCTGGCATTCTATCTGACATATCTTCTGGCATTCTATCTGGCATATCTTCTGGCATTCTATCTGGCAAACATTCTGGCACTTTATCTGGCATATCTTCTGGCATTCTATCTGACATTTTATCTGGCATTCTATCTGGCAAACATTCTGGCTGGCACTTTATCCGGCATATCTTCTGGCATTCTATCTGACATTCTATCTGGCATATCTTCTGGCATTCTATCTGGCCGTTGAGGTCCAGCGGTGCGCACTGAGCTGGGAAGGTCCCAGGTTGAGGTCCAGCGATGCGCACTGAGCTCGGAAGGTCCCAGGTTGAGGTCCAGCGGTGCGCACTGAGCTGGGAAGGTCCCAGGTTGAGGTCCAGCGGTGCGCGCTGAGCTGGGAAGGTCCCAGGTTGAAGTCCAGCGGTGGGCGCTGAGCTGGGAAGGTCCCAGGTTGAGGTCCAGCGGTGCGCACTGAGCTGGGAAGGTCCCAGGTTGAGGTCCAGCAGTGCGCACTGAGCTCGGAAGTTGGCGAAGAGCTTGGCGAAGAGTTGGCAAGGCGGAAGTGGAGGTGGAAGTTGATTCAGGCATGGTCAACTGGAGGAGGACGCGGAGGAGGAGAAGGAGGAGGAGGAGGCGGAGGACAACAGCTCTGATAAAATCTAACAATCCTCACCTGGCAAGTGGGGAATTAAAGGTTTTATGCCTGAATGATCCCATTAACCCCAAGTTTAATTTTCTTCAGGATTGGCTTGTCGCTTTTTGCAGGACGCAAGAAGATGCCCGGAATGGTGGTCGATACGCCCTCTTTGCGACCAGCAGGACACTTGTCAGACTTTCGGATGGTTGCTTCGATGTTGGCTCTTCGGCTGACTCACAATGGTGGTGAGTTTCAGGGACATGGAGGAACTTGGCTGGGGGAGTTGTTCGAATTGGGGCATGTCTACCGGGACAGGATGTCAAACTATGTGATGTTGTGCCTTGGGTTCCATTCCTACGTGGCCTTCATGTTTCGAGTGGCTGAGTTGGACCATGGTTTCTTCAAGGTTTGCGAGAAAGGGTGCCCACTCGAAGATGCAATCTCCAGGTTTCAGCCTGTTTGCCTGACAGACATCGAGAGGAAAGAGCAAGAACTGGAAGGGATTTGGACAGCAATTCCATGCTCCATTTGTTCCTCGTTTTTAACATCCAAGCCTTTTCTGGCTGTTGTAGCGTTTGCACATGATTATAATATGTGAGCTTGAACCGTTTTTTTCTGAATGTTTGCGGGGGTGGGTAAAAACAAGAAGCTTGTCATGACAAGACTCTTGAAATTTTTGCGAGTCAGGCTTGCCTAGTGACATTCCGGGCGACTTGCATGAGAGCGGCCTTTTGCTGAAGAGAACCGGGGAGGAAATGGGCTTGGTGACCTACAGGTTGCTGCATGGCGCAGCCATGTCGCTCAACATGATCTCGCGCTTGTGCTTCATTCTCCGCCTGCCCGTAGAGCTTGCTTGCAATGAGAAATCCGTGGGGCCTAAGTCACGATTGCAACTCGTTTTAACTCATGGAATGCAATTTAGTCCCCCGAATGTTTCTTTTAAAGTCTCTCCATATGTCCTCGACAAAGTGTACTGGTGTTTTTTCCGGGTTCTTATGTTTGCCTTCTCCAGCGCACAGAGAACTCAGGATGGCAGTGGTGCGTCATTTCTGCACGCATTTGACAGAGGATGCTATGAAAGCCCTTGTTGAGAGCATGACCAAAAAGTCAGATTCAGATGACACTTCAAAGCGACTTCAAAAGGACGCCAGAGTTCCAGATTGTCTCCATGCAGTGCTGAAAGTTCTCAGTGCGGAAGAGGATTTCACCCGCTTCGAAGATCTCAAGTCAAAGATGGATGATGAAAAGCGACTTGATCTGATCATCCGCCGCGAAGGCTATCATCACAGCAAAGCTTCAAAGTTTACACCCAAGTTGATCACAGACTTGCGACCTCCTGGGCTGGGGATCTACTTGAACATGCAGCCCACGTTGAATCAGTTTGCTGGCTACTACGAGAAACCGACAGCAGCTACAAGTTCCAAGGATTCCAAAGGTTCCAAGGTCAAAAAGCAGAGAGTGACGCGTGGAGGCAACATGCACACCACTGCTCGCAAGTGGGGTGGGAAATGGTCGCAAGGTGATGCACTCGCCCTCGTCGTTTCACAGCTGTGGGCATGGCACAAGAATATGGCAATGTTTCCCGGCTATGAGTACTAAAAGGTTTCATCCCATGGTAACCTCACTTCCTCAATCCAGTCTTCACAAGACAGTATGGTAACACACAGGCACGTACCACGCAAACACACAGACATACAAACAAACAAACAAACAAACAAACATACATACATACATATAGACAGACAGACAGACAGATATATATATACATATACATATACATATACATATACATATACATATTACATAAGTGCAGGCATGCATCCATGCATACATACGAGAACACACAAACAAAGCAACCCACCTTTCAACAAGTTTGGTCGGCAACTTGCTTCCTCAGGACTGTACAGAAAAGCCATCAAGAGCTACCATTTCAAAAGCTCTTGAGCGAGTTCTTCAAGGGGAAGTTGACTGTGGAGACTCGGAACCTGAAGGTGAGGATCTCCCAGCTGCAGAAGCGCCGGCAGAGGGCAACAGCGGGAGTGCCCCAGAGAATGAGAGATCTGATTCCTCTTCGTCGTCCGACAGTTCTACCAGTTCCAAGCCGAAAAAAAAGCAACCAGTTTCTCAGGCAAAGAAACTTTCTTTGAAGGAAGACAAGAAGGAGCCGCCGAAACCCAAAGAGAAACCCAAAGCAGAAGCCAAAGGGAAAAACCAGCCCAAGGCTTCTGCTGAAAGTGGTGGCTCTAAGAAGCGGCCTGTTCCACTTGACACCTCTCAAGTGGTGTCCAAAGTTCCCTCGCATGTGGAAGCTACCTTGAAAACTCTTGCCGACGATGCAGGTTTCACCAAAGGTCCAGCTCTCAAGAAGGGCAGGCATAAGTGATGAGCAGCGAGTGAAGGAGGAAAAAAGAGAAACTGCATTGAGAGGGTTGAGATCTGTGTATGCGCAGCATCCCTGAAATCCACTTTCGATCGAATTCGATCGAAATCGTTCGATTTAGTGAGAAATCCTGCTAATTAGTGCTAATTAGGGAGGATGTAGGGGGTATTGCCAGGGTGTAGTTGAAGAATCCCCAGAATTTAGTCTAGTGATTTTTTTTTGAAGATATATTTCGTCTAGGGGATTTTTTTTGAAGATATATCTAGTCTAGGGTGAAAGGCAGAAACCGGTGAGGGGGGCCGGGGGGTGTTGAATTATTATTACTTTTTTTCTTCGGGGGGGGGGCGGTCAATTATTATTACTTTTTTTTCTCGGGGGGGGGGGGGGGGGGCAACCAATTATTATTACTTCAAGTAATAATAATCGGGGGAA